TCCCCTCTCTCTCTCTCTCTCTCTCTCTCTCTCTCTGCATCACAACGCAAAAGTTTATGTTGCAATAGTCGTCAGTCTTAGACTTGTACTTGTATTATGATATTTATCATAATTTTCCTAGATCGTGCACTCTGACGTAATTCCGATTCACCAAAAAGTGTAGCATTTAACTTGACTTCATTTGCGGCCCAAGGACAGGCGAGCCGGAAAAGTGCCATGTCCTTTCTGAAGACGAAAAATTAAACTCTCTAAGGCCAGGGGCAATCCATATTTTTTTTTATTCTTATCATTTGGACAGAATGCAAACCTGAACAAAAGCAAATTATGTTATTGCTTTTTAAAATGGTGTTTAGAATTCATTGAGTTCTGTGTTTTCCAGTCCATGTTTTACGAAATGCGTGTCGTTTTGTATTGATTTATGATGCGGTGGAATCAGGCGCATGTCAATTTTGGGAGGCATTTATTGGAGCTATTAGTATTGCATTAAAGGTTGTTTGTTTGTCTTGGATTTGATTTTTAAATACCCATCTATCTTTATTAGAAGTGGAGATATGTACAATTATAAAATAATGAGGAACGCCTGATATCTGAAATAAAATTTGCGAGAGAATGGCTGCTGGTGTCCTTGGGAACTGCAAATTTACATTTTGATTGTGCCTTTAATCAACGGTTGTCAATAAAAATCCACTCAAAATTTTGTTTTTAAATGGAGGCGTAGAGGCGCAAGGCAATGCCGATAAAAATTACCCACTTGGCGGAAAATTGCGGTTTCTTCTTATTCCTTATTTTGACGAGTGCCTGATTTCACTATGATGCCACACAAATATCATTATCATCTGCATATCTTTGTACTCGCCAATGAAATGGATTTTTTAGAATTGATTAATACGTGGGTTCTTTCCTTTCCCAAAGAGTTTATAATAATCAATATGTAATACAAGAATTCGTGGCAGTTATGTTCCCTACATAAACCCACCGGGGGACGCTGATCCTGAAGGGCAAGACATGCGCAGTTCAACAGACGGGTGAGTACTTTTCGAGAATCACGTGGAGACGTCTCGGCGATCCCAGGAGGAAATCTACAAGCTTGCACTCAAATATGGGGGTTGAGTATTGTTTAATAATATACAAGGGCTCGTATTGAACGGGGTGGGGGCTCAGATTGTTCATGTAAATGGAGGCACGCCAGCCATGCAGATGAGGGCAAGAAGGCCCCTATGTCTGACACGTGTGACGTCGCTGCTGCGAGCATTAGTATTATATATAACCTTTTTTGTCCTTTTTTTCTGCCCAGTAACCTCCCCGCCACTGTCCAGCTGGTAGAAAACCTTGCTGTTGGTACGTCAGTGTTCTCTGTCAGTGTGTACGACGAGGACGGTGATACTGACCACACCTTTACCTACAGCTTCAGCCCAGCCGCCGGGACTAACCAGTTTGTCGCCAATACTTCTACGGGCATTATAACGCTTGGCGGAGGTAAGGTGTCTCTCGCTCACATCTGTGCAACCCCATCTCCCATCCGTCTCTCCTCTCCACCCACCAACCCTATTGTTAGCCTTCCCATTGCTTTCAATTTGTTCAGAAAAATGCAACCCGTCTTGTCAACAAAAAGAAGTTTTTAACAAAATATTTTAAGAACGTATAACTCCGTAAGCCTGTGAAAGATCGTATGAACCTGACCATAAATTTGTTGGATTTTAGGTTTTGGTTTTGGGTTTGTTTTTTTTTTTACATGGTACAAATCCAAAAACTACCTGATAATTGATAACAGTTATGCCTGTTTATCCCTAAGCCAGAAAGTTTGGGGGGGGGGTAGTAAAAGTTTTACGGCACTTGACACACAATAATAAGGTCACACAAGAGCCGAAGATTAGAAGTGCTACTAGACAGTAACAAACACAAAAAAGAGAAATAAGGGCTAACAGCTGGTTGACAGGAGAGAAGGAGCAAACCACACCAGAACACCCGCCAACCACCCACAAAAAGCCAGAAAACGTATACTTATACTTGACACAGATTTTTTTTTAAAATACTCTACACACAATCAAATAAGGTGGCGTCGGTAGCTTAGTATGGTGTAATCGTAAAATTGCGAGTTTAGTGGGGGTTTTGAGCCTCAGCTCGGTCCGACGCTGTGTCCTTTTGAAAAGCACTTTGTGTTCACCATTTTCTCAAGCTAGCAATATAAGATACCTACCTTCAAAGTTCTATTGGCAACCACTCGCGTCCGCGTTGTTGGATTAGGAAACCAATCACAGACTATTGCATGTGAAGACCTGCGGGCATCAATTGGAACCTAAGAGCTCTAAGACAGGTTTTTTTTAATGGAGGGAAGGGGGGGGGGGGGCTGAAAACAAGGATACTTATTCGTCTTGAACCAGAGCTGGACAAAATAATTTTTCGAATTTGACGAACATGCAGCGGGTTCAGTTTTCAATGGCCACCTTACAGTGTTGTTACTGGAAAATTTACGACAACTATTCCGTTCAAGTTGTCCTACATTAACAATACAGTGCAAACTAGGGTCTGTGGAGTAGCTAGTGGTTAGGTGCTTCTCCTTCGCACGTAGAAGACACGAGTTTGATTCCCGTGTGGGGCGAATTTTTATTGATTCAAAACACTTCAGTCTTTCTGCTAGGACGTTGTATCCCTCTTGCCTTCTAATTCTAAATTAAGCTTAGGGCCTATATAAATTTATCAATGGTGGAATAAAATAAAACACCCACAATTTAGAGTAAAATACCGTGCATGCATTACCTTGATAGCATTTTGTCATCTAGTGCGGACAACTGTAGAAATAAACAAAAGCAGACAAAAGATGTCAAAACAGAATGAAAAGTAACTATGTATCTAAATGTAAAACTTTCCATTTCCCCGGCCGTCTAGCCCTGGACTATTTGACCCAGCCCCAGACTTACACGGTGTCTGTGACGGCAGCTGATCAAGTGACCACCTCAACAGCTGCTGTGTTGACCATCAACATCGTGGAAGTCAATGAGGTAGGTGTCTCCAAGTCGGTGTATATGTTTTTGTGTGTGTGTGTGTGTGTGTGTGTGTGTGTGTGTGTGTGTGTGTGTGTGTGTGTGTGTGTGTGTGTGTGTGTGTGTGTGTGTGTGTGTACTTTTTTTTCGTTCGT